GGGAACGAGCCGTCCAATCAGAGCTTTGGGGTATAAGGGGTCTACTGTGTTTTCAGCTTAAGGCTGGAGTCCCATGAGGTGTATTTACCGCGTATCGCGTAACCGCGTAACCAATCAGAAGCGATCCGCTGTTGTGATTCTGCGTTTTACTGATTATTGATTGGTTACGCGGTTACGCGATACGCGGCAAATGCGCTTCATGGGACTCCACTCTTAATTTCATTGATTTTTGAAGTGAATTTTGAATTTTTCTATAATTACCACGAAATTATGGAAAATCAAGAAAATATGCCGTCAGCTGTAAGTATCATTAATGATTTTCTACGACTTAAGGCCCTACGATCGCTATGATTTCTATTGTAGACCTCGCTTTATATTCTTTCGTTTTGCAGCCCACGAAGTGTGGATATTGCGGTTGGCATATCGATGTATTATTGAGAAGAAGTCTCCTACAACATCGTTGCTTTACAATATTTAACGAAGAAACGCACTTATTACATATCGATGACAATAACGTTATTACGGTGGGTAAAGTATTGTTAAATAAATCAAATTTTTCAGCACCTTTTATTGAGATACTAATTTCAGTAATTGTAATATTTGCGTTATTTTACAGTTGAAAAGGATCAATCATCATCGAGTTGCAAGTCTCCGCTATTATTTTTGAAACGGTGTTGTGGGCAACGAAAAGCATATGATACGAAAAGCCAATTACAACATCATTCTGTTAGATCTGCTTGCAAAATTTGCAAGCAGATCTAACAAAATGATGTTGTAATTGGCGATCCGCTAATCCGCTTACGCACGAACCGCTCCATGGGACATTAAGGGCAAAATTATCGCGTACGTAAAACGGCGAATCTTCATTGATTGGTCGTATCTTTCGATACGCGAATACGCGCGTACAGCGATACGCGTCATGGAACGGCACCCTAAGGGTGGAGTCCCATGAAGCGTATTTGCCGCGTATCGCGTAACCGCGTAACCAATCAATAATCAGTAAAACGCGAAACCACAACAGCGGATCGCTTCTGATTGGTTACGCGATTACGCGATACGCGGCAAATACGCTTGGGACTCCAGCCTAAGGGTGCAGTCCCATGGAGCGTATCACGCGTATCGCGGATCGCGCGTATCGGAAATCTGACCAATCGCGGACATTCCGCTGTTTTTGATACGCAAAAGTTTCGTTCCTATGGTCCCATGGAGCGGAATTCGCGTAAACGGATCAGGCGGATAGTCAATCATAAAACGAGTTTCGTTACTTTTCTTTATTTGCCTTCATCTAAACAGTTGTATGATTGGTAACCCGCCGATCCGTTTACGTTAATTCCACTTCATGGGACCATAGGAACGAAATTATCGCGTATCGAAAACAGCGGAACAAAACTGACTTTTGCGGGCGAATTACTGAGAGACCGCAGAAGAAAGAGGATAGCCGCAAAAAGTATAACCATATTGTGTAAGTAAATTTTATTAAATATTAATTTGTTTAATATTATTAAATTTTTTAAAAAATATAACAATTGAAGGGCTAAGAGTCAGTTATGTAATAAAGAACGTTTAATTTAAAACATAAAGATAATTAAAATAATCATGATTATAACATTTCATTTTGTTTTATACTTACAGAGTCTTTTATTATTTATTTTTTTTTATATATGCCGTTGAAATGAAGCGTTATAATCATGATTATTTTAATTATCTTTTTTAAATGTTCTTTATTACATAACTGGCTCTTAGCTCTTCAATTATTCTATTTTGTTTTATACTTACAGAGCCTTATTATTATTTATAAAATTAAAATATTCGCAATGGTTTAACAAGTGTAGAATGAAATCAAAAACAATATTGTTTTTACTATTATTATTAACAAAACGTCTAGACCATAACCATAATGCTTTCATCAAGCAGGAAATATATCATAAAATTATTAAAACATATGAGCTTTATTCTATATTAAGAAAAAGTGAGAAAAAAACTATTAATAGAAGAAAACGAAAATATTGGGTCAGTCCAATATTTACTATTGAACGACGGTTAGCACAAGGAGCAAGCAATAATCTCGTTAATGAACTGGAGCAACAAGATCGTGAAAAATTTGTTAATTATTTCCGAATGGAACCGGCACTTTTCGAAAAATTATTACAATTGATCAGACCATCGATTACTAAACAATCTGTAGTTTGAGAAGCTATTTCACCTGAAACAAGATTGCATATAACCCTCAGATACTTGGCATTAGGAGATAGTATGCGATCATTGTCGTATGCCTTCCGTGTTGGACACAATACCATCTCTAAAATAGTGTCAGAGACTTGCGAAGTCGACGCAATCTTGTGATTGCGTCGACTTCTACACACATATCAGATCTCGAGGGCTATGCCACTGCCATATGACACTACCTCTTTAGACTAAGCGACTTTATTTATATTCGGTGCGTACGCTGGATTCGGAACGGCGACGTATCGAAAATAGCGGAACGTCTGCGATTGGTCAGATTTCCGATACGCGCGATCCGCGATACGCGCGATACGCTCCATGGGACTGCACCCTAAGAGTAAAAAATTGACCATTTATAGTCTTTTATTCCTCTTATATTGGACTGTGATAGGTCAATTTCTTACCCTTAGGGTGAAATGGGGGGATCTCAATTGATCACGGCTCGATTGGACACCACCATTCACAGCGGCCAGGTGCCTAAGAGCTTTGGGTGCTTTCCAATTGATGACACAAGTCGATACAAGTCGACATAAATGTCGTTCTATCTTTGTCACTCTCTGAATGTCAACAAGGATAGAACAACGCTTGTGCCGACTTGTGTCATCAAATGGGAAGCACCCTTTGTAGTCTCAAGCGCTGTGAGTGGCTCGTGTCCAATTGAGCCGTGTCCAAATATGGTGCCACCCGGGTGAAATCACACTGTGCAGAAAACGACTGCGGAATAGAGAATGTGTAATAGAAGCAATCAATCAGCGATATTCTGAATTCGAGATGTCAATTTAAAGTCGCACGATGCTTATGACATTTGCGACGCTTACAATACGATTAATGTTGAACCAGCTTAAGTCCGGATCTACAATAGGTGTTTTAAGCCTTAAGCCGTAAGAAATTGACCAATGGCAGACAAATTCGGGAGAATAATCGATTATGATTCGTCCATTTCTTATGGCTTAAGGCTTAAAACTCTATTGTAGATTCGGTGTAAGTCCGGATCTACAAAAGGTGTTTTAAGCCTTAAGCCGTAAGAAATGAACCAATTACAGTCGAATCCGAAAAGAATAAGCGACTGCGATTCGCCCATTTCTTATGTCTTAAGGCTTAAAACTTTATTGTAGATCCGAACTAAGGGCATCTTAAATCTAAGGATATATCCACATAATTTGCATAGCCGCATAAACATATGCATAATGCTAGTTCAGACTGAACGTAGTAAGCGTCGGGATGATCCCGATTGACACGGCTCGATTGGACACCACCAATCACAGCGACCGGTGCTTAGGAGCTTTGTAGTCTCAAGCGCTGTGAGTGACTCGTGTCCAATTGAGCCGTGTCCAACTGGGTGCCACCCGTAAGCGTCAAGCAGTGG